GCTCAGGGCTCCCTGTCAGCTGGGGCTGCAGACCCAGCCTCACCCAGTGGGCCCGGTACTGAGACAAGGCAGGTGACAGAGAAGCCGGGCAAGCACCTCACAGGGATACCCAGCTCAGCGGAAGGAGGGCGGGAGGGGTGCCAGGCCGCCCTGGGGTGACAGACATAGTCACCGTCTCGGGTAGAATGATGGCTTCACAGGGTGCACACTTCAAAACCACCAAACTGTACTCACTGGAGACAGACAACTTCTGTGGGTCTGTGACACCTCAGTGCAGACGACTTGCCACTTCTGCCCTCCCTGAGGAGGTCTGGGGCCATGGGAGGGGGTCGGGGACAAGAGGCCCCGAAGTTGGAGCGGACTTAGGTCTCTTACCAGGGGGGTGGTCGCAGGTGTGGCCAAGTGGGGGTGTAGAGCCATAGGTGAGGTCGAAGGGGCCCCATTCCTCCACCTGCAGGAAAGCACGGCGGCTCAGGAGTGGGAGGGGTCCCCCAGGGCCCCACACCTTGCTCGTCTAACCATGCGACTTAGGCTGACCCTCAGCCCAAAGGCCCCTGAGGGTTGGGGGTAATGAGACCCTCCGGGCCAGACCTGCCCGTGTGGTTCAGGGGACACACAGAGCTGGCTTTCCCATCTGGGAGAGGCCAGCCCTCCACAGAGCCCTGGGAACCTGACCACTGACGATTCCTTCGCACCAGGTGTGGCCCTTACAGACCCCCGTGGAAACGCGACACACGGGCCCCCAGGGATTCATGGGGATTTTGTGTGCTGCTGGAAAATACTTTACAGGCCCCCGACAGGTCAGCGCTGCCCAGCAGCGACACCCTTGAGAGGCGGGAAGACCACCAAGGTGGCCCAGGCGACCCAGGGGCTTGCTCATGACGACTCTAGCCACTGTCGTTCTTAAAAATCTAGTCAGAGACCCAAATCCTGGACCCCTGGTTTTCTGACAGCACCCCCTCCAGAGCAGACCTGGCTTCCTTTGACGCCCCACCTCCCACCACGGCAGTTGGCGGAAGCCTGCACTCAATGTCCACCCCAGCCTTGTTCCCCACGTGGCAGTGGGTTGTGACCCCGCCCAGGTGCGCTCCTGGTGGCACCTGGACACCGGGCTCTGTCACGGCTGGCTGACGGAGCAGGCCCGGGGGTGTCTGGGTGGGGAGGGGCGCGGGGACTAGAGGAGGTGGGTGTGGGCGTGGGCTGGCGAGGCCCGCACCCCAACACTGTACGCCACAGGCTGCCGTGCTCCCTTAACCACCCCACGTTCCCTCAGAGGGAACACCCAGTTCTCTGATAGGATCTTGCAGTTCTGCAGCTCGGGGAGGCCTCCTGTCACCCTCATGTCACGTCTTAACCATCCTGCCCTGCGAGGGAGGACCCTGCCCTGGGTGGGGGCTGGCGGCGTGCGGGTGGGGGCAGGCTCCCGAAATGCTTCGTGGTGGGACGTCTGAAGGCGTCGGGGAGGGCACAAAGAGGACTGTCCTGGCTCAGGGCAGGGTGGACCAGGGGCGATGGGGGCCGGGGATGCTGCAGGAGGCTTCTCCAGGCTCCGGGCCAGGAGGGGAGCAGAGCCGTGAGGCCTCGGCCAGCATCCAGGGCAGAGCCCACCCCCACGTTGGCCGTTTCCTTGCTGCCGCCTCTCGATGGCCAGCGCTCCAGCCCCTCAGCCCCTCTGCACATGGTTGCTGGGCTCTGGGGACAGTGGGCTTTAATCCTGGGGTGAGAGGCTGTGCCCACGTGGGGGCGAGAGCCCAGGGTCCTCCTGCCCCGAGGCCACGGGAGGAGGCTCCGGCCTTTCCCATCTGCGGAGACGGCTCGAGGCCGAGCTGGGCTCTGGCGAGTCGTTTTCAGGCACTTTCTCCGAGGCCGCCGTCCAGGACAGCAGGAACTAGCCTCCCAGGGGCCCTGACCACTTCGCAGCAGCACCCAGAGGACGTGCGCGGACAATCCGCAGCTGTGGCTTCCCAGACTCAGCGTCTTATTTCAGAAGGAGGTCTTGGGGCTGCCCCGTCATCACAGGGGGTGGGACTGGCCCCTTGGACTTCAACAAGCCAGACAGGAGGTTTGGCCAATCGCTCTGCTGTGGGCTGTGGGAGCGTGGGGGCCACAAAGATGTCCTCTCATCTCGCCCACCGTGGGGGCCAGTCCCTGCGAGACCCCCCCACGCCGGACCTGCTGGGGACCCTCCCACCTCCCCGTCCCCTATCCCCCACAGCACCCCTGGGACCGCTGGCACGTCGCTCTCCCCTTGGTGCCTGGAGGAACACAGCAGTACTTACGTCCCTCCTCACCACGTCGGTGACATCATCCAGATGTCTCAGCCTTCCCGGCTCAGAGCCGTTTTCCAAAAAGCCCAAACTCGTCAGCTCTGGGTGGGGAGCAGAGGGGGCACAGGAGGGCTAGTGCTGGTTTTGACCCCTCGCAGAATCAGAAGGCCAGCACTCACTCGGAAAACGCCCCCCTCGTTGACGAGCAAACTTCGTCTCTTCAACGACCCGGCAGGGGTAAGCAGCCGCCT